ACCCTGCCTCCTTCTCTGGACCCTGCCTCCTTCTCTGGACCCTGCCTTTTTCTCTGGACCCTACCTCCTTCTCTGGACCCTGCCTCCTTCTCTGGACCCTGCCTCCTTCTCTGGACCCTGCCTCCTTTTTCTCCTGGATAGTTCCGGCTAAATCTTACTGTCCTCGAACATTTGCCTGTCGCTTGAGAGGGGAAGTGGACATCCCCACGTACATTCACGTCACGACTAGCCAGCTTGGGTAGAGGACGATGATCATGGCGTCACTGACGAATCTGCGGGTGAGAGGGCTTTGCACTGCGGGGGTGCTTGTTCTGGCATGGGTGCTGTGCGGGATACAGGTCATGGCAGATGACCAAAAGCCATCAATCACGGTGGATGGAGCCGGCACGTTGTACATCAACTCGACTCAAAAAGTGGTGCTTAATGGCGTCGATGTGGTGGCAGCCCTCGGCTACCTTCTTGAAGCGAAGACAAACATGCCGCAGATTTTCATCTCCACCGCAGTTGATGACGCTCGATCAGTGTATGCGGCAGATCTGGACGGCGATGGTGATCACGACGTCCTCAGTGCCAGCTTCAACGACAATAAGATTGCCTGGTACCGCAACATCGGCGATGGCACCTTTTTCGCGCAGCCTGCCCTCACCACCGATGCCAACGGTGCCTCCTCAGTGTATGCGGCAGATCTGGATGGCGATGGTGATCTTGACATTCTTAGCGCAAGCGTTAACGACGACAAGATTGCGTGGTACCCCAACAATGGCGATGGCACCTTTTCCGCCCAGATCATCATCTCCACCGCTGCTGACGGCGCCTTCTCAGTGTATGCGGCAGATCTGGACGGCGATGGTGATCTCGACGTTCTCAGCGCCAGCTCAACGACGACAAGATTGCATGGTACCGCAACAATGGCGATGGCACCTTTTCCGCCCAGATCATCATCTCCACCGACGCCAACGGTGCCTCGCTCAGTGTATGCGGCAGATCTGGATGGCGATGGTGATCTTGACATTCTTAGCGCCAGCTTAACGACGACAAGATTGCGTGGTACCCCAACAATGGCGATGGCACCTTTTCCGCCCAGATCATCATCTCCACCGACGCTGACGGCGCCTTCTCAGTGTACGCGGCAGATTTGGACGGCGACGGTGATCTTGACATTCTTAGCGCCAGTCTCAACGACGACAAGATTGCATGGTACCGCAACAATGGTGCCGGTACCTTTTCCGACCAGATCATCATCTCCACCGACGCCGACGGCGCCTTCTCAGTGTATGCGGCAGATTTGGACGGTGACGGTGATCTTGACATTCTTAGCGCCAGTCTCAATGACGACAAGATTGCATGGTACCGCAACAATGGCCATGGTACCTTTTCTGACCAAATTATCGTCTCCACTGCCGCTGACGGCGCTCGCTCAGTGTATGCGGCAGATCTGGACGGTGACGGTGATCTTGACGTCCTTAGCGCCAGCGGCATCGGCAACAAGATTGCATGGTACCGCAACGACGGCCTTTTGGACTGGAAAACTCGCTTCAATTTCGACTGACATGTGAATCCTGACGATTTGAGGTCGATGGCTCGGCAAACACGTCAGACGATCAAGCTGCATCCACAGGAGGCTATTCTTACTTTTTTTTGACGAGTAGGCTCTACAATTGATATCATGGCTTACAGTTCTTCCGCACTTCATCCTCTTTTATGAGACGACCATTCCTCACGACCTAGCGTACTGGATAAAGGTAGAGGCCCCATTAAGAACAAAGGGTCGTGTCAAAAACGACCCATGTAATTTTCTTGTTCATTCAATTGGCACACCAAACATGCGAGCCAATGTTCAGCTGTGGGCGTCTCCAGTGAAAGACATGACCTCTAGAATGCTAGGCTTGTGCTCGACAATTTTTTGCAACAACTATGCATGGCCCGACAACAGGATGAATGAGTTGTTGGGCGCTCAGATGTCCTTCTGGTGAGGCAAGCCAGGTTGTGAGCACAGGGACTACCTACCGAGTCAACGTAGGCCTCAAGTTGCTGGTTGTCCTCGTCCCGCTTCTTGATCATGCGACGCAGCTCGGTCTCCGACATGGCATAGATTTGGGCGGTGCTCAGCGGGTCATCCTGCTGCAGGCGCGGCAGTCCAGTCATGATGGCACTGGCCACCGGCTCATCCTGGCGCAAGATCTCGCCCAGCAGCTGATCAATGTACTTGCGCAAGCGCACAGCTTCCACCTCACGATTCTACGTATACAGCCAAATTACAACCTGTGAGAACGTCGGCCTCCAAAATTCGTGTGCAGCAATTATCCTTTGGGTCAGGGTCTGATGAGATCCTGTGCCACACACCTCGAGCTTCTCACGGCTGTCATTTTCGTCTTCCCGTGAGGTATCATGCATGGCCTCTTGCTGACTGACAGCCAGGGCCTGGCGTGCTTCAAATTGCTCCCGCAGAAGCTGCACGTCTTGCTCGCGCTGGCGACGCAAATCTCCGATTTCGGTCGCATGCCGAGTCGCACCCGCCATTTCCAGCTGGGCAATCCGAGCATCGAGGTCCGACACACGCTCCAGCAGGCGCTCACTGCGCTCAAAGATGAGCTTGTCCTGCAACTCACAGACGCGTGCTCGCAGGGTATCAAGCTCGCCAGACTGCTTCTGCTGCGAGCGTTGGCTTGTCTCCTGCGAGGCCAGGCGAGCGCTGAGCTCAGCTTGTACACGAGCAACGTCTTCCTCTAGGCTATGCACAGCATCACTCTTGTCCTCGAGCTCTGGGGCAGTCACGAGGCAGGTCCCACACACGTCAGAAAAAAGCCATGGTGTGCGCATTGCAATCTGGGTACCAACACGCATGTGTATCGTATAGGGGGGGGGGCAGACCTTTTTGCAAGCGCGCCTTGGCGCCCTCCAGCTTCTTGACATGTTCACGCGATTTAACGAGGCTGGCTTGTTGAGCGGTTGCGCTGGCCTTGAGCGTTGTCATTTCTTTTTCGGCAGTGCGCAGTGCCTGCTTGGCTTGCTCCACTTCGCGTTGTGCCGCAGTCAGGCGGCGGTTCAGGTTGTCCTGACTGGCTTGTGCGTTCTTGCTTGCTGTTCGATGCTGTTCGACCTTACTCTTGAGGGTGTCACGCACTTTGCCCAACTCTGTTTCTCTGCGCTCAGGCCGATTTTTAGAACAAGCGTACGACTATGAGGAATGGTGTCGCTATCGGGAGGAAAATGATGGCGGGAAAGCGGGCGAATTCAGGACATACAAGTTTTTGATGTTAGAGCGCAATTTATGTGCCTCTTCCTGCGCTGCTTGCAGGTTCTTCGCCGCAATCTTATGCTGCATGTATGCGCTTGGTGAGCTATGACGGATCTAGGCTTGGTGGGCAAGAAGTGCAAGCCACGAAATGGCAAAGGAAAACCCATCGCAACACAAAAGACACTCACATCGGCGCGTGCGCGCTTCAAGTCGTTGCGCGCTGCCGTCAGCTTTTCCTCAGCTGCGCGATTGTTCTCATTTGATCGCGTCGCAGCCTCTCGCTCAACCTCCTGCCGCACCGGCAAAGGCCCAGTGTCAATGGCTGGGCCTTGAGCGCAATGAGAATTGGAGCGGCACAATCGATGCTAACCTGACGCGTCTGGGCGATGCGTTCTTCGGCTGCTTCAAGTCGTTTAAGCAAGTGGGCATTCTCCGTCACTGCGGCTTCTTGTTTAGCAAGCAAAGCTCGTTCGGTCGATGCGCGGTCGGTTTCCAAGCTTACGAGCTAAAGCGCGCACGCAACCACGAGTCAGGAGAAGCGATGCAAGCGGCCTGTCTCGCCCATCTACATGCCGAACCTGTTGTTGTGCCGCTGCAAGGGCCGCAGCTTTCTCCTCGACCGCTTGTCGCAATTCAGCGGCGTGCTTGCGTTCCTGTTCCACCTCTGTGTGTGCCAAGGCGAGTTGACGTTGAACGTCTGCCAATCGAGCGGCGCCCTCGTCGCGAGTTGAGGTGCTACTATGCTCGATGAATTCAATTCTGCTCAAGAGCTCTGAGTTTTGGCGCTCAAGCTGCTCCAGCTCGGCTTGGCGCTCGAGCGCACGTGTCTGCGCGGTTTCCAGTGCTGTTTGCAGCTCGTTCACCGAGCTCTCGAGGTGCTGGCACGTGACTGTAACCTCATCCACCTGGGCCTGGCGGGCTGCTGCTTGTTCTGCGAGCTGTTCGCGCGCGGCCTGCAGGTCAGTAATTTGCTGCTCAAGTGCAGTTCGGGTCGCTTCCTGGCGCTTTTCTGTGGCCTCGGCAGCAGCAAGTTGCTGCTTGGCGGCCTGCAAGGCGCTTTGGTGCTCCTGCAGTCTTTCTTCTGCGGCGTTTAGCTCTTCGCGGAGAGATTGGACCTCTTGGCTTGTTTCGGTGGCTTGCGCAGCAGCGGTGTTGGCGTGCTGCTCATGGTCCAAGCGAACGGCGGCCATTTGATGTTGAAGGCGAGCAACTTCGGCTCGAGCGTCCTCAAGATCGCCCTCCAAATCCTGCAAACGTGTCTCGGCAGTCTGTCGCTTGGTCGCTTCTGCCGTAACGTCATCCCGGGCTTCGGCCAGGCGTTGTTGCAGCATGTCGAGCTCCTCATCTGTGCTGCGCCGCATTTGATCCAGTTGTGCTTGATTTTGTCGCTCGCGCTCATGCAGCTGCTGACGTAAATCATCGCGCAGGGCGATGGCATCCTCGAGATCTTCCAGCGTTGCGCTGTGTGTTGATTTGAGACGGGCATGCTCCTGCCAGCCCGGCCGGCACAACCACCAAAATTAGGTCTGGCTTTGGGTTCGAGGGGGGCGGGGGGCGGCATAGAGGGCTCCAAAGTAGAAACGCAACAAAAAAACAAAGCGGCCGAGTCGACACCGCACCAAGGAGCGCACGCGACCGAGCGCAAAAGGAATGATGACTCACCTTTTGTAAATCCGTGAGTTTCAGGTTGGCCAAGCTTAGTTGATTGCCCAGTTGGTTGCGCTCCTCTTGTGCCGTGTGCAGCGCTTCCAGATCGGCAGTTGTTGAGGCGGACTGGGCTGGCTGTGTTTCGTCAAAGGCTTCACCTGTGATCAGGGAGGTCATGTCTGCTTCGGCCTGGAGCAGTGCAAGTTGGCGCTTGGTTGTGGCAAGTTCCTTGCGCAATGCCTGAAGTTCCTTCTGCGACGAGGGCTTGTCGGCATCCACGTCTTTGGTGTCCGCCAGGTCGGCTTTGCTAACGTTGAAGCCCCGTTGGAGGTCGTCAAACATGCGCTACACGCCATGGTTTTGGGTCAGCACAACTCGAGGTGAGATGACGCAAGCGCGAGGGGTAATCCTGCTTAGGGGTAAGTCTGCGGGAGGGGCTGAGGTGTGAACCTGAAATTGTTGGATTCGAGAGATGTAGACACCGTTGCGTTGCTCTTGTTCGCGAAGCAGGATTTCGGCGGCTTCGGCTCGCTGCTTTTCCATGGTCTTGGCGCGCCGTTCCTTTTCTAGCTCGGGTGCCCAGAAGAGTTTGATGGATAGCAGGCTGGCACTCAGCTTTCGATCTTTAATGTCCAGCTGCAGCAGTTTCGCATCGACCGCGGCGTGAGTTGTGACCAGACCACGACAATCGCGGGCGCGGAACAAGGGCTCACACCTTGGTGTGCATGTTGATAAGGTCGCGACGGGCTTTGAGGAGTTCCTGTTGCAGGTATTGCATTTCTGCTGCAGCGACCTGTTCAGATTGGCGATGATTAAAGGCTCGTACTGCGTTGCGGTCCGGGGCTACAATGGGTTTGCGGGTAAGCAGAGCAAGGAAGTAAACATATTAGGCCAAACGGGCTGGTCGGGAGCGAGTCTGGGGCTGAGCACGCCACGTGGGGAGCTTTGGAAGACGAGCAAAAAAGAGGGAGGGGAGAGCCAGAAGCCAGGGCTTACCACGGATGGGTGATTGCTCGACCTCTACCATGTCCAGGGGACCGTGGCGCAGCGGGGTATGGGATTGCACGACGATTTCAGCATTGGATGGGGTGGGGAGGGCGGTGGTCGAAGCGGGTTGAAGGCCACCGGTGCGACGGCGGGAGGCCGGTGAGCCTGGATACTGGGGGCCGCGCATGGTGGAGCGTTGTGCGCGGGAGGGGGAGGAGTGGTGCGGGCTGGAAGGGGAGCGCTGGCTGGGGGAGGAGACGCTCGACTGGTAGAAGACACGGGGCTGGCCGTCGGAAACGGTTTGGGCGGGCGCGTTGTCGCGGGGGCTGGGGCGAATTGTGTCGTAGCGTGCTGGGGAGGGTGGGGCGTTGGTGGTTGCATGGCGAGTACGGGTATCACGAATGGGACTCTGTTCTGGGGAGGAAACCATGGCGTGGGTGGCGTGGAGCCGGGCAGCGCGCTGGGCAGCGCTGGCGCTGGCTTCGAGGGGCGGAGCGGGGTGCGCCGCGTTGACGGAAAAGGAGCGACTGACGGGTACGCCGTCGACTGAGGCACGAGCGCGCATGGCAGAGGAAGCGCCAACGCCTTCGTTGCCTTGGCCTTGATAGTCGTGATAGACGACAGCGCCGTGAAAGCGCTGCACGGGGTTGGCGGCGTCGGCGGCAGAGGCTGTATAGGCGTCGGGGCTATCCCAGAGGTAGGTGTGAACACCGGGGCTTGAATCGAGAGGATTCTCTTGGTCGGCAATGGCGATGGAGGAGCGTCGTCGCCCACGTCCATCCGCGTTGGTGGGGGAAGCATCATGTGAGGCCGGGGTGGAAGAGGCGAGGGGCATAGGTTCAGCATCATCCATGACCATGACAGCGGAGCGGGGCCGGGATCGGCGCGGCTTCATGCGCTGAGCATGAGCAAGCAAGCCAAGGGAAAGACGAAAGAAAAAAAGATGGGGGAGGGGTGAGTCGAATGGCAAGAGCATGGACGTGATGTTCAGGCTGCGCGCGAGGGAAGGCAAGGCAAGTTCGGACCGACCTTGATGACGCCCATAAAGCCGCGCTTCTTCTCTTGATTCGGAGACTTTCGATCCCCTCGGGGCGCCACGCTGCCCTGGCCTCGCTGCGCCATTTGGATGGTGAGCTTGGATTACTGTGGTCCAGCCTCCAACGGCACCGTGGCACTGCAGACTGGCCAACACGCGCGCAGGGCCAGTGCAGCGGGTTGAGCGCTGCGCAAAAGTGCTTTCACATGAACCTACAGCGGCATCCCCAACCAAGAAGCAAAACCATGTCAAGTTGGAGCCGAGCACGGCCCATCTTACAACCACGTCAACAACGAGACGGGCAGTCGCCGTGGGCGCAAACGCGCGCGACGAGCCCACGAGCGAGCGAGCGAGCGAGGTCGGGCCCGGCATCAAAACCGGACAGCGCATGTGTGTGGAAGAATGAAGCGATGCCCGCTTTGATTTTGGTTCACATGTGTGACGAGCCTGACCGAGCGAGTGGCTGACCTTCCACCATGGGCCAGAATCGGCAAAGCCGTGGAATGAGGCAGCCTCTCTGGCTCACTCAGGCGTCCCGATCCATTCAGACATTGATAAACACTTGCACTGCCATCCATGCATTGATCCGAGGTCCACAGCCCCCACCGGTGTCCCCGCCAGCAGAAAAAAAAAAAAAAAAAAAACAC